TATATATATATATATATATATATATATATATATATATATATATATAATGATGATAGCATTGGAAGTAGCTTGTCTCCATAGTTTGATAATTGGTTGTCAAGATTGATCTCTGAGATAGAGTCGACCTTGAGTTTGCAGGTGGCTCGAGTTTGGTGACTTGATGATGTGTCAAGAGGTGACTTGGCCATCATGCATATTGAAGCAATCCATGAAATAAACGTCACCATAAAACTAATTCATGTAATGAGCTTATATACAATTTTAGTGGAACATTTGGCTTGTTTCTAGCGTAGTGACGGAAAAAAATATTTTTAGGTACTTTATACCAAATAAACTTGGGGACGGTGATGAAAAATCGGGTCAAATTAATTTAGTAAATTTTATGCCAGTTACTGAATATTGTTCAACGATTGAACTTGCGTAACAATTGGTAGCCCATAGAACCAAGACGAACCGAGAATCCCACAAGTGGTAATTAGCGGCAACTAGGGCTTGACCCATTTAGTATTTACTTGGGCCACTTGGGTGACCTATCCATATACAATATAAGTGGACTGCAGTCCATTGTAGTCTTATACAATACCATACTATGTTTTCTCTTCCTTGGCTCTTGGCTATACAATTCTTTGTGGTTTCTTCGTGCCTTTTCCTTGAGTTTTCTCTATGCTTATAGTCAACTTGTGTCGCTAGCTACCTGACCTTCGGTAGCCACTATTCGTACCCTATTTGCCACTTGCCATTTGGTCCCTTTGTGCTATCGATTTTGTCAGTTCTCTGTGAGCTTTTCGTGGAAATTTTCTTGGTGATTAGTTGGATTCTTCGGTCCAAATTGGTTGTGCAGTTACCTTGTTGCCTTGGGTTGGTTGATTTGAGCCCTGCAAATCCATCTTTGATTCCGAATATGGATTTCAAAGGGAAGAGTTATTCTTGCAATTTCCATTTAAAATAATTCGATTTCTAGTTTTGGTCACTGATGATTAATTTCGTATTTGATAATCTCTACTTATTAGGCATCATATTTAACAATACTCACAAGTCACAACTTATTCAAAAAGTAAAGGAGCAAAAATTATTTTTAGGGATTATTGCAGCAGAGGTTTCATTGTTTGTCATCCCAAGCCTTTTGAAACATTACGACAGAGACCCTTTTGAATGGTTTCCATCCACAATTCCTTTAGTTGACCAAAAAATTAACTTTGATCACATTTTTAATATCTTAAAAAGAGGTAAAAGAGTAGCTTTCTATTTATCAAATTAAACAATTGCATTTGTTAAAGTAAAAAATAAAACAAAAGAAATCAATCCTTTTCTACCCTTACGCTCACCCTCACCCTCACCCTTACCCTTACCCTCAGCAACCCGACTTCTTCCACCTTTATCTCAATCAACCATCGACCACTGCCATCTACCCGTCACAATTGCCAGCATATTACTAACTTGAATTGAAGGTATTAAGGTCGAATTTGATGACTGAGGCAATGTAGAACCCTCAATTGAATGACAAACCAAGCTGCCTTGCATATGAACTATCTAGATATGTTCATCCACTTAGTGCCCAAATTGCTAATGACCCATGGTTGGAATAGGTGCATCTTGATGAGAGGATGCCAAAACAGGTGGTCTGTGATCACGGGACTACCATAGTCGTTGAAAAATGAGTTTGTTGATCACGAGTTCGCTGTCTCGAAAAAACTATTGTAAATTTCTATTTTTTTGTTGTTTGTTGTTATGGAAACATGTATGGACGCGTTTCTTGATGAGCTTGAGCGACCTTGAAGTGCAGTGAATATGGGCGTTCATAGGTTTGGTCAAATTTGTAAGAAAATCGTGCGTGAGAGGCAATTTTTGGATAGAAGGTTCGATTTTGATGTGATTTAGGGCTATTGTTTGTGTGGGGATGTTAGTAGTTGATGATGAGGTGGTGGTGGTGCAAAAATTCAGAGGCCACACTGGTTAGAAGTTCGATTCCATGGTTGATAGCTGAGGGTTTACAATGGATGTGAAGGTGGAGGTGGAGGTAGAGGTGGGGGTGGAAGAGAATTGTTTTCTTTTGTTTTATTTTTTATTTTTTTATTTAACAATGTAATTATTTAATACGATAAATAAAAAGTTATTCCTTTGCCCATTTTCAAAATATTAAAAGTGTGGTTAAAGTTAAATTTTTGGTCAACTAACAGAATTGTAGATGGAAACCATCCAAAAGGACCTCCGTCACAACGTTTCGAAATGTTTGGAGTGACGGTTGCAACAAATTAAAGGTTTAGGAAAAGTCTGCTAATATTTTAAAGATTTGGGACCTCTGCTGCAAGTATCCCTTAGTTTTATCATTGTAGTGTATAATCAATAATAGTAAAATAGTAGGTGTACTAAGGGAAAAATGTCATCTGCATCTGCATGGAATGCATGGCACCAATTCCTTCTATTTAATTGAGTTCTATCCGTCCATAAGATTACCATTGTCCTATAAATACTCATTTTTATCCTCTATTTCTTAACAAATACACAAATCCCAATTCCTTTAAACGGTTTTCACCCTTTTGAGAACTTGTAAATGGCTACTTCCAAAGTTCTAGCCTCCTCAATTTTTCTCTCTCTGCTTGTTCTTCATCAATCCATTGATTTTCATCTAAAATTTCAATACTTTCCTTTTAAATTAATTTATCTAAAATTTCAACACTTCTCTCTCTCTCTCTCTCTCTCTCTCTATATATATATATATATATATACATATATATATGGAGTTTTGTATTTTCCTTTGTTATGGTTGTTGGGTTTTGATACCCAATAAATTTCGGATAATGATTTTAAACAGTTTTGATTATATTTATAGGCCTCGATCGACTCGAAAACAATTCGAGTCATTGGAAGCAATTTAATTAGTTAATGTTGCTCATGGCCCCTATAACTTTTGGATGATCCTTTAATATGCTGGCCCAATTGTCTCTGTATTGGCCCACTTGTTGGATAATATTGGCCCAAGTTATGGTAACCTAAATTGACCTATATATACGCACTTCGTACCATTGCAAAAGTGTGCCTACTCTGGGCTTTGAGAGAACAAACGTGCTGTTCTTTCGATGGTCTTTTTAATGTGCTGGCCCAATTGTCTTTCTGTCGGCCCATTTGTTGGATAATATTGGCCCAACTCATGGTAACCTAAGTTGACCTATATATATCCATTTCATACCATTGCAAACGTGTATCTGCTTTGTGCTTTGAGATAACAAACGTGCTGCTTCATGCCTTCCTCTTCTTTGAGCCTTTCCCTCCATTGTTCTCTTTCCCTTTTTGGCTTTGCAAAAACTACCAAACTTGTGTTTCTTGTGGGTACAATAGAAGTGGCAACCAAAGTGATGTAAGTAGCTATGGGTTGAAGCCATTTATTGATTGTGGTTTGATAATGGTAAGTTGAAAATGAGCCTAGATTCCATAAATCAAAGATCAGTTTCGCTACATTTGGTATTAGAGCATAGTTAGTGTGGATTTTCAACCAAAAATTGATTTGAAAATGCATTGAAAATCCAGCAAAAAATGAAATAAAAATTGCCCAATTTTTTTAAAATTCTGTTCGAAGGCATGGCTAAGGTGGCGCGCACGGTGGCCGATGACGACGGGTGGAGGTTACTCGTAGAACATCGGTGAGGCGAGTAGCGGCGCGTCAAGAGATTTCAGGCCGTGGTTCCGAAAGACAGTTTCTTCCCAACGACGAGATGCTTCAATGTTGTTAGATTTCGGTTTCGGGTGATACGGTGAAAATTGGACAATTTTACACTTTGACATTTGGGTATCAAGCACCATTTTGTGTTGACACAATTGCTAAAAGCTTTAGGGCAAATAGTGGTTGCCCTAAAGTGATAAATTTGCTTTTCTCGATATTTTACGGACTCAGATTGGTTCGCTTTGGTAAATTGGTTTATTACAATTTAAATTTCAGTATTGACACGTCACCGTATGGGGGTGACATTAAGATTCGAGTTATCGTGTAAGTAACGGTGGTTTGTGCTAGAAATTTAGGAATTACTTTGAAGTCTAACTGCAAGATAATAATTGCTTCTATGTTTAATTGCTTACATTACGTGAGAATTTGAATTTTTTGTTGAGATACCTTTTTGTTGCATTGATTATTCTGTCAGAACACCTAAACTCGACACATTTGAACATTCTCTTGATTTAAGATCGCGAATATTATGAAATCCTAAAAATTTAAAACATTGTAACTGTGACCTTAGGATTACTTTTTGTGACATATTTGTGCACTTTAATCATTCCGTCGTTGAAAAATGTTTTCACACTTTGAAGTTGAAATTTTCGATGGGAAATGAGATTTTTCAATTTGGTAACAAAAGATGAAGGGGATTTTGGTTTAACAAAAAGTTTTGAAAGTCATAGACAACAAATTTTCTACAAATTTGACAAAAGCACAAAAAGAAAAATACAATGAACTTACTTATACTTCAGTTATTTTACACATATTTGATGCTGATTTGAGAAAAGTTAGAAAACTTGATTATACAAAAGAACTTTGACAAAAGTTGGAGGACTTATATTTGCTTAAGTTTACTCCTAATAAGTTGTACTTGTTTGAAAGATTTTTCAATTTTAAAATGGATCATTCAAATGATCTTAATAACAATTCGAATGTTTACAACAAACTTGTTCAAGATATTATTAACTGTGATGAAAATGTGTTTGAAATGTATAAAGCATTTATTTTGCTTAATTCAATGTCTGATTCACATAGAGAGGTTAAAAATGTAATTAACTTAACACCTGAGATTGTTATAAATTTCGTTAAAGAGTAAGGAGATGGAGATTAAGACGAAAAAAGAGGATAAGAGGAATTGTGAGTTACATATGATAAGGAGTAGAATGAAGTTTAAGCAAATGAATTTGGGTAGAGTTTAAGACAGTAGTGATTCGAGTGATGAAAAGACGGGACAAGTCTAATGATAGATGGTATTATAGTTGTGGTAAGACTGAACATCTTATTAGGGAACGATTTGATTATTTTGTGTAATTATTTGCATGCATAGTGCGTTGGAATATATTAGCAGTAAATGTGTTGTGTATCTATTGGTGAGGTGGAGTATAGATATCTAGGGGTATATTGGTGGTTTTGTACTAAGAATGTGGAGTGTGATATTTGGATTATAAGTAGAGAGGTGATTTAATGTTGGAATTCTTTATCTGTATGAAGTGTGAGAGAGGTGCTTCTATTATTTCAGTTAGGTGGAGACCCATTATTCACTTAGATTGGGAGAAGTGATAACGTGATAGAGGATTATCTCAAGAACTTAAGATCTATTGTAATTTATCAATTAAATATGAGTTTAACGATCTATCTAGTGAGCATGGCATGCAATGAGAGAAAATATGTGTTTTCAAGATATGAGCAACACGGATGAGATAGGATAAGAGTGGTGAAATTTTTTTTTTCATGGGGTCATTTATGCGTTTGTTGTATGTGTTAGCCGCATGTTGATTAAATTGGTATTAATCTGTTGTTTCGTGTGAACGTATTTTTTGAAAAGATCTGTGGGTTATCCTACTTTATATCTTCATCGGATGATTATTTGCTCTTAATTGTTCACTGTGATTATTTGTTTATACTTGTGTATTGTTTATGACTTTAATCCTAGTGGGTATGTAGAATAGATATTGTATGTGTTTCAGATACAAAACCGAAGGTAAGGTCTGTGATTCCAATTTTATTGGTTACCTCGATTATGCAAGTACTAACTGTGTATTTTGATTGCTTGTAGGTTTAATGGGTATCAAGGTGGAGATTTGTTGGGTTTTGATACCCAAGAAATTCCCGAGCAATGATGTTAAACAATTTGGATTATATTTCATAGTTTTTGGCTGATAAGTGAAATAACTATCAATACAATCAACTTATAGGCTCAACCCGATAACAACTCAGGTCATTGGAAGCAGCTTAATCAGTTAATATTGCTTATGGCCACTATATCTTTTGGGTGGTCCTTTTAATGTGTTGGTCCATTTGTTGGCCCAAATCATAGTAACCTAAATTGACCTATATATACCCACTTCATGCCATCGCAAATGTGTGTGTTCTTTGTGCTTTGAGAGAACAAACATTGCTGCTTCCTATCTTCCTCTACTTCGAGCCTTTGCCTCCATTGTTTTCTCTTTGCCTTTATGGCTTTGCAAACACCACAATACTTTGTGTTCCTTTTGCGTAATTGAAGTGGCAACCAAATGATAGAAGTAGTTGTGGGTTGGAGCCATTGATTGATTGTGCTTTGATGTCAGTAAGTTGAAACTCAGCCCGGATTCGACAAATCGAAGATCAATTCCGCTACAACGGTTGTGTTACCTTGTCTTTGTACCCACTATTTTTTATAAAGGTGAACATTAAATATAACATACAAAATTTAATTGTTTTTTCCCTTTCCTATTATCCAATTACTATGACAGAGACGGCAATTACAGAGAGAAACTTCAGTGGAGCGGTCGCACTACCATCAAGGTGCGCCACCTCGGTGGCACCTCGGCATTGGGCAGGTGTACCACGTAGATTTTGTGCCCGCCCCACTGAAGATTTAGTCACAATTACAAGAATACTTCAGATAGATTGTCATACTATAGAATTATCCGATGAAACATTTTATAGTATCAAGATTATTAAACTTCGAGAACATTTCGTTAGTTTTTAGTGCCCGATTCACCGTCTATGTACCCTTTACGCCACATCGTTACTGCTGCTGGCATGGAGTTAGCCGGTGCTTCATCAGTTCTCGTAATACAGCAACTTGCTACTTGTTTTAGTTATCTAGGTAGTCTGAAAGGCTGAAACAATTTAACAGCAGAACTGAAAATGGAAAACCAAGAGTAAATTTTTGAATAGGTCCTTTAAGTGCAGGGCTGATTCATAGGCTCCACATTGGAGCTTCAAAAATTTGAACATAAAAACTCGACTTCTCTCAAGAAATATTCTTCATATCTTCTACAAATAGAAATTAAAGGATTGCATATATACATTTACACATGATTCTGTTCAAGCAATCACTAGTTTCAAAAAAATTATATTATTTCTGAAATTAGAAACTGACCGCAATTAGATGGATGACCAAAAAAGCATCAAAATCCAACAAATGTCCTGTATGTCAAATAGACTGCAATTAGATGAAGAAGAAATTGGCTATGTAAAGCATGGCTGTCATTTGGTAGCATGGGGAAGGTGTCTGGTAGTGGCATTTGGCAAATTTCACCATTGAAATATATCGTTCTTGGAAAAGCCCATCCACTGTTCAGTGTAAATGATTCTGAATCTTTTCGCAAAAGTATTTCTGAAGTCACAGAACCCAATTGATCTTTATCAGCTTGCAAAATTTCAGTGTTGTAGAAGGGCTTCCCCCAGAAAAGGGCAACTTCTTCTGCAAAACAAAACGATATACATTAAAAAATTCAGTATTCGACAATGTTTGATCATTGTTGTCCAGTTGAGAGTGCACGACATTTATTTTCCTCCTGTTTTATCGTTTAACATATTTCCACCCTTTGAAACTTTATAGATTAATGAACAAGATCTCTTCTCACCAAACATAACATTAAGGGTGTGTTTGATAGCACACCCTTTTCCATGGAAAAAGGAAAATCAATGCTATTTTCCAACTTTTGTAATGTTTGGTAGGTGAAATTTTCCATGAAAAATGAATTTCACCTTTCTTGGCCATATTAGCATTTTCCATCATTACTGTAGCATTAAAATTTTTTTTTTTGGCAATGGAAATAAATTCTAAAAATTATTGTAAAAAAATATTTCCCTTTAACTGAAAAATTTCATGTAAAACAAAGTCAAACGAACACCAAAAGATAGATGATTTTCTTATATAAATAAAGTCAAACGAATATAAAAAAATATTTTTATTTTAACATTTTCCACGTGAAAAATTATACCAATCAAATATAATAATTTACAATTTTCAGGAAAACAATTTTTAGACAATTCAATTCCCTCAAATTCGTTTTCAATTCAATTCAATTTTATCTTGCAATCAAATGGACCTTAAGTGTATTGTTCAACATGACGTGCCATCTTTTTAGTCCTTTGTTTTATCCTTTTTAACACATGGACCATGTCAAGTTAGTTATTTTGCCATACGGATTTTCGAAGTAACTTTCTTTATACTAGCAAGCAAATGTGCTCATGTTGACCATTTGAAACTCCATATATAAGTTTCTCAAGGATTAGGGTACCTGGGACACCAATAACCGGAAGCATTGTGCTGTCGAAGCTATATACAGAGGCGGGCCGTCCGAAGCCAGGATGTTGAACCAAAATGTTCCAATCTGAGTAATTTTTCCTGTAGTTGTAATTCGAGACTGTCAGTTTTACTCTCCAATGATCCATGTAATTGTTCTTAATATGCCAGTGAATTCGAAGTGGACACATATGGTCAGTGCATCGAACTATATCAACATCTGGAAAATCTGACGGAATTGAACCATCTCTGTTCAAGATATACGAATACACGTAAACAGTTATGTCTTGTTGAGCCACCTCTGTAAAAGCTTAAACGGTTAAAGATGGAACACATTTATTTATTTAAATTTTGGTTTTTGATGCAGAATAACAAACCTAATACATGATTTTGGGAGCCGATCAGAAACGTTACATCCACAGCTGCAGGAAGGACACGATGTGACTTTAGGATTGTAAAATGATGAGAGTGAAACACAGCAAACTGGCGTTTTGTTAGCCAAATAACTTGAATATGTGCATGTCGATTTCCACGTCCCTGAAAATGAAAAAAATAAAAAAATCCTTAATTGATGTTGTTAGACTGGTCCTAATCCCAGGTTCAAGAACCTAGTATTATCCTTGTCTAAAACTAGATAAATATATTATTCAGTTGGACAGAGTTAATTTTCGACAATTTTCGACAACAAAGTACTCACTTAAAACTTGCTCTTCTCTTCTTCCCCCGATAACTGAAGAAACTGTAGGAATCGTGTCCATCAGCTGGTCACAAGTATAACCGGGTCCTGGGGCCATTAGAGAAAGATTTAGAGGCTTGTACCCGGGAGTGTTCTGTTCCAAATTTCCAACTGTAACCTCAAAGGATGTGTTGGACAGGGAAGGATGGGCAGCATAGGCAGCAAGGATCCCACCGTGGCAGCAACTGTTTGATCTGTTTTGTGGCAATGCGTCTGGCATCAGATCAGCTATTACAGGATCTTTCTTACAAGAATGTGGTACTTGGTCTTTGAAGGATGAACAATTTCCTTGTTGGATGGCAAAAGCACCAGACATTGACCAAATGACCTCATTTCGGGTCCACGCCCAACCAAGTTTCCAACCTGGTTTCTCTATATGGCGATACTGATAGTAATTTTGAATTGTTACTCTTGCCTACAAGAACAAATCATATTAATGGATGTGAATTTCATTACATGCATGACGCGATTGTGTTATAGAATTTTTAAGTATGAAAAGATTTGTAAGTGCGTATATAGAAATATAAACCAGCAAAATTTGAGGTCGATTTCTAGAATCACTACTAATCCAAAACCAGATTGCTTACAAGATCAACAACTTCTTTATTAAGGGCATGGTTTCTCCACGGTACTAAACAAGAATGGATAATATAACGACGGGATGTTACTCTTTTCTTTCTTAACATGATACTTAAAAGTTAAAAACGGAATGTCAGTTGTACTACTAACCACATAGCCATCAGGAGCATACTTGAGGATGTCAAAAGTAACGGTAATATTCCCATTTGGATCCAAAGGGTCATAGCAATCTGCAACCCAAGAAGGCAACTAGCTTCAATATCTAAGAAAACTCTTAAATAACAGAATAAAGCAGATTAGGAAAATTATGATGCCTGAAAATCTGCAAGTCCCAATTAACAACAGCAATATCAGTAGATAACGCCACCGGGGAGAAGTGATTGACTCCATGTTTTTTGGTATGAAGCAACTCAAAACAGACAGAAGCTGTTATAGTCGAAGAGTTGGATAACATTTTGATTAACTATTAGTGTAGACAAAAAGAAAGATACAAACCTATACAGAGAAATCCAGCTAGCTCATTCTTCTACAGGAAGCTGGAAACAAAGAATAAGCATAGGAAACATCCTTAAAATTAGCAACACATCATAATACAATATTATTTTATGACCAATATAAATCAGCAATAAACATAAACAAATATAGTCGCCCCTATATTCCTTTATCTATGGAAAGATACATGAATTCCTAGGCGGAATAAGCATTATTGAAATTTCGTGCAACATATAATTAATCTGTTTATTTTACAAGTAAAAGTACTATTTTGTGTCCAGGAATAATTTCCAATATCCGGACAAGAAAGCCTATCCTCTTTATGTTTCTTGTTTCTTGATTGCCAAGCTCTAGAAATTCTCAGGTATAATGCCACATGAACAAAAATTGGCTCATTGAAAAGTAAAACCAAATTTAAATAGAATATAAAAAATCTTAAGCAATTATAATCAAATTCTAATAAACAACTGCAAAAAGTGCAAGAAAATATGTGAACGAAGAAGCCAAAAACTAAAAGCCACAGGTTCCGTGCAACGAAAAGAAGAAAATACGTATAAAAAGTGGCTCTTTTAAACTTTTATCAAATTATCTATCAACCCATGAAAAAGATTCAACAAAAAACAGAAACAAATTCACTATCTGTTTTACGTCAAGCAATACGTGGAGTAACTCCCAATATAGCAGTAAAAGCAAGACGTGCAGGTAGATCAACTCATCAAGTTCCCATTGAAATAGGATTCATACAAGGAAAAGTACTTGTCATTCGTTGGTTATTAGCGGCATCCCGAAAACGTCCGGGTCGAAATATGGTTTTCAAATTAAGTTCACGGTGTGACTTTTAGTACGTTCAAGATTCGAGGGACAGTTTCCAAAATTTTTATCTCCAAACATAAAAGCTTATCCAATTTTAGTTTCTTGAATCCCAAGATTTAGAAATTCTCAAGTATAATGCTAAATACAATTAAAATAGCTCATTATAAGAATAGAACCAAATATGGAGAGTATGTCAAAGTTTAATCAAGATCTTCCTAAATTAAGTAGAAGGATTAAAAATGAAAAATCCTTTGGATTGAATTTTATTATGCATCTAGTAGAAGGTATAGGGACTCACATATTAAACAAATTGCAATCACACAGTCTACTGCTGAGTTGTTGTTTCAAGCCATTGCAAAGAGTATTCTCACTAATAAGGCACAAATTAGATGAGTTTGTATAGAAACTTTGAATCATTTTTGGGCTTCTCTGGGAGTTTGGATGAAAATATGGTGGGATTAGTGCATGTTTGTCTAAGCTTAAACAATTTAGTTATTAGTAATCAATTTTTTTGAAAAATGAATATTAGCTTAAATTGAATATAGTCTTTAACTTTATTCAAGTTACAATTTGTTTTAAAAATAAATTTTACCTCTAAAATGAATAATCTTTTTCTTTAGTGAAATTTGGAATTAATATTTATTTCCATGCAAAATCGTTTTCATTTTTCACTTATAAGTGACAAAAAGAGTTGTTTACATCACATTGAGATCAAACTGCGAAATTAAGAAGTTATATGTTATAAGTTGTGTTTAATTATATACCACTCTAAATGCCAAACACGCCTCCTTTATAATTTATTCAACTCATTTTTCAACTACTGATGAATTTCTACAACCATAAAAGTCAATTTGCATGTCAAATCATTTCCAGACATTGATTAATGGTTATTACTCCACCTCCATCTAAATCTAAATCGGATGACGTTGACTTTTCCATCAACTATAGATACAAAATTGATGGACAAAAGCTGTAGAAGACACAAAAGATATATTTAGCCCCGTTTGTTTCTCATTTTTGGAAGAATGAAAATGAAAAATATTATCGTTACGGACCCCACACAAGAGATAGAAATTCAAATTCGTTGACTTGATGTGATGGATAATGGTCATATTTTTCATTTTAATGAGAAAATAATGGGAACCAAACAGAGGCTTATTATTTATCAAAAATTTCTATATAGATTGAAAATTTTGAAAATTTTGCAGGACATCGGACGCCATTCGCCATCCCTTCACTTCTAGTTACTAGTCAAACATACAAGAATAATCTATCGAGGACAATAATGTCAAATAATAATGATAAATAAATAAATAAACAAAATGGGAACACATAAATCATCATTTAAGATTGATAGGCGATTGCTAAAAACACATTGATATAAAAATATAGTGAAATACGAGTCGGATAAGTAGAGGCCAAACCATGTTCCGTCTAAAGGAAAATAAAAAATCCTTCAATGAAAAGCATATTTCAAAGTCTTGTAACAAGCAGCAAATCAAAGAGGTATTAGATTAAGCCTCTCAAACATCCTATCTAGAAAAAAAAGAAAGAAAGAAATTCAAAATTATTTTGCCGGTTATTTATTAAGCCTGAAAATTCAGTTGATACACAAGGACTTTAATTATTAGACCAACCATTTAAATATTTAAAAGATGATAAGAACTACTCGCCATAAACACCCACCCCACTCCACCCCTACCCACACACATAACGTGGTCATTTATTGGAAATGAATAGCCGGCCTTTGTTTCTGCTGTTACAGGATAAGCGAATTTGATGTAGGCCATTTCATATATGTGAGTATCCACAAATTCAACTCCGCATTGAATCCATGGACAACTTTGCTACAGCCTTTCTTTACGGAAGAGGTTAGTTTGACTTGGGCAACTTAAATGGGCCTGTCATCGAGAACAAATGGTCTGACACGATATGAAACTTAGCACTCACCGCTATCGGTGATCCCTACTTGCAGAAAATGGCCTATATATGTCTAATGAGAGCTTCAAGAATACTTTTTAACTTATTAAGAGTCCTGTGATTATATAAAGTTTATGAGTTACAAACTAAGCAATATCAATTTTATAAATAGAGAAATTACCAATTTTCTTATCGGATTCAAAACTGAAGGAACGATAGGCACTTAGGACGATAAACATCCACCTCATAAGGGACAGTAGGAAAAAGGGAAAAGGGAGCTGGGCAGGGCGTGTATGTTTTATGTAAATTTTCTAATTTATGATCAATCTATAATTACGGCAAACCAACACTAGAGAAAAGTTCATATTGTTTTCATTCCAACTACATTCATAAAGAGCATTAAAAGTAAAGGATAATATAAACTAATAATCAATTAAACCACTTGGAAAAGTTTCTTGTAAGGGCAGTTAGAAGGCATGAGATGATGGTCAAGTCTTTCAGCCATAAATAATAAACTGATACTCCATCATTGTAGGTTATTTTAATTATTTAGGTGAGATATTTCAGTATTGCTTCCATATATAGAGTAGCATACACAAGGCAAGATCAGCCTTGAAAAACAAGAAAAATCAATCAAAAAAGGTGTTTTTAAAGTTTTTTTCAAGACATGGCTGCTAATATTTGGAATGTACATGGAGTAGATGATGAAGAAAGTCAAACCAGTTTGAGCAAAATTCAGCCTGTCCCCTCTACACCAGTGCAAGTTCTTTTTTTCTTAAATCTCAAGTTCAATATCTTCAGTTTCTTGTCCTTTTATCCTGAAAAAATTTGAGGGTATTTCTTAGTTTCTTACATTTTGTTTGGCAGGACACAACAATTGACAGCTGATCTCGATAAGAAGAAGCAAACTCCTCTTACCTCGAGTCAAATGCTTGGTTTGAACGAGCTTTTCTCCCTAGACGTTAGTACATATCCCGATATGTACTTGCAAATTTTAGTTTCTTCTTCCTTTTAATTACTGTATAGTCTTATAAATAAGACTGTCCTATATAATCCAAGTAACTTAAGTTTTCTTGATAACTGAAGGTTTGGAGGGCATCGGTGGGAGAGCTTATTGGATCAGCAGTTCTAGTATTCATGATTGACACTATTGTGATCTCAACCTTTGAGACTGATATCAAAATGCCAAACCTCATAATCTCAATTCTCATTGCCATTGTCGTTGCAATTCTCCTCCTCGCTGTACATCCTGTTTCCGGTGGCCACATCAACCCCGTTATCTCCTTTTCGGCTGGGCTAGTGGGCCTTATCTCCATGTCACGCGCTATAGTTTACATCCTAGCCCAATGCATTGGTGCAATACTTGGTGCACTGGCCCTCAAAGCCGTAGTGAGCAGCACCATTGAACAAAACTTTTCACTTGGAGGTTGCACTCTAACAGTGATTGCACCTGGACCCAATGGACCCATAACCCTTGGCCTTGAGACGGCACAAGCCTTTTGGCTCGAGATTTTCTGCACCTTTGTTTTCCTTTTTGCTTCAATTTGGATGGCATATGATCATCGCCAAGCAAAGAATTTAGGCCTTGTTCTTGTTTTTTCAATTATAGGACTTGTGCTAGGCCTCTTAGTGTTTATTTCCACCACTGTCACTGCCAAAAAGGGCTATGCCGGGGCAGGAATGAACCCTGCTAGGTGCCTTGGGGCTGCAATTGTTAGAGGTGGCCACCTCTGGGATGGCCACTGGGTGTTTTGGGCCGGGCCTGCTATTGCTTGTGTTGCCTTCTATTTATACACAAAGATAATTCCACGGCAGCACCATCATGCAAAGGGCTATGGACATGATTTCTTCGATACTGTGAAGGCTATGCTTGGATTTGTTGATCACTGATGCAATCAAGTTGCTGCAAAATGGAAACTAGTGTGACTTTTTGTTTCTAAACTTGTCCGTTGATAAGTTGTGAAGAATGTAATCTATGTTTTATTATGAATGCTATGCTCGAATATAAACAGTTTACTAATTATATTGTTACCAGTATACCATGCTTCTTCCATAGAGATCAGAAATGAAATGCAGCCCAGATATTCTGATAAATTAGGACATTCCTTACCAAAAGACATCTAAATAGATAAATTCTTTGAGACCAGAGTTTTATTACAATTACTTGCCATCCATTCAAAAATTAAGCAAAAGGACAAACCATGATTGACTTATTAGTAGATCACCCTTTAAAATCTCATCGTGTGTCGATGATTGTCTGTATCAAACAATCCACGATTGACTCGTTTGATTAAGCAAAAGGATTCATGTTATTGATTTCAATGCTCTTAAGAATAATGCTTAGTGTGTTGTCGTCACTGTACCAAACGAGGACTAAACCCTTATGTAGATGAGTCATATCGTTGGAGGCTATCAAGAAAATTTACGTGACTTGGTATATTTCGGCTACCATAATTAAAAATATTACTATAACCTTCACTATCATATACTCCTTCCGTCCTATTAAGATAGTTCTATTTTTCTTTTTGTTGGTTTCAAATTATAGCTATGTTTCTTATTTGAGAGTGTAGTTAATATGTTAGTATATTACATACATAATTTAATTAACTTGACTATTGATTGTATTAATATAAGGGTATGTAGAAAAAATGATAGTAAAATTTATTATTTCAACTATATTAATTAATTTTTCTTAATCTGTGAGAAAAAAAAAATATGACTATCTTTATGGGGCATGGGGAGTAGTTTATTTTTCTACTAACAGTTATATTTTCCTATATATATATATATATTATTTATTTATTTATATTTATAAACAACCTGGATTTAAATATGGTATTGCAATTTTGAGAAAAATTTACTCGAGTGACACAAAGTGTCAGCTCTTCTACCTCTTTAATTTAATTTAATTTTTTATTTTTTAATACTGCGTTTTGAAGTAGTAAGAAAACCAGTGTCGTGTTCAATGTTTTCCAATGTGATTTACGACTCACAATAAATTCCAGAATTATACAAAACAAGAAGGGATCAAAAATCGAAAATTCTCCAAACCATTTGTAAATTCAATTCAATAAAAGTCAACCCTAAGTTGTTCTAATAACTAGAATTTAGAGAAAACAACGTAATAATCCCAGGAGCAGTTGATTGATAACAGGTTCTAAGTCGGTTTATTTGAAGGTACCATAATTAAAAAGTCACGATCATCTTCATAAGCTGTTATAGGAATTTTTTCAGATAATAAATGCACTAAGAAATAAGCGAATAAACAAATAATTTTTTTTTATAAACAACTAGGATTTACATATGATATAATACCGTCTAGAAAACCACGAAAGAATTATGCTTGAGTGGCACAAATGTGAGCTAGATCTTCTACCTCTTTGTTTTATCTCCTCAAACCACGAAAGATTATGGGAAAGAGAGGGGAAAATTATTTATTTATTTATTTCGGATAGATGACTTCAAATTTGTATCGCGAAATTAAAGATGAAGTTGGGAAGTGAGAAGAATAAAGACATCTTCATTGCATGGAATTGTTAGGCCTCCCCTTATTGGATGATCAAATCCGAACTCTTCCTCCACTTGATGCAACAAATCTTGAAATGAAGGACGATTTAGATACGATATGGGAATCACGAAGCGTTTCTTCTTAATTTCTCCCACGTAGACTGCAATATAGCCCTTTGGAACATCTGAAAATTGATGATTTCTACTAAGAAGAGACAGCAGTTTGTGAATTTGCTTTGAATTGGGAATCATGGAGTGGAAACGAAGACCCATTACTCCTATTCGTTTTGCACTTTGATGAAAATACTTAATATGTTTATTGAGAAATTAAGTTGCTTTGGAAGGGCGTGTATCTTCTGTATTTATATCGTAATAAAATTATGTTCATTTTTTTTAATATTCTACAGGAGTAGCGGTGAATAAAATAAGGAATATAATAAATATTTTATCTTTGTATAATAACAATTATTCAGCAACAAATTCATACACGCGTTTATTGAGGTGGTATTCACACCTAGCGTCCAAGTGCTTATGCTGCGGTTTAGATCAATTTATGTATATGCAAATTTTAACGGTTGACAACTTTTGATTTTGTTGAGTTTTTGATACCTAATAAATTTCGAGTTATGATGTTAACTTGAATTAATATTATTTTATAAGCATAGACCGATGAATGAAATAAGTCCAACAATCAAACCTATGAGTTATATCCGACCCAATTATATTTCCTCTTGAATGGCTTGAATCTTGGCCCGTCTACCTCTTTAAAGGTCCAACTTAAAGCCTAACCCTAGAGTATATATATGACTATAACTTTAGCCACTTTTTTTGTGATGTTTTGTGTAGTTTTGAGAGAAAAATTAAGGAATCCCGGCTGCCCCTTTGTGTGTGATAAAAGGCCTCTAAAAGTGTTCAAAACGATTGTTTAATGTGTGCAATTGGTGATTCCTTCATAATATATTTTTGTGGTGTCTTCTCCTAATCTTTGTGGCCACAAGTCATAATCTTTTCTTATCCTATATGGGTAAGATTGAATAGCAACCAAAGTGAATTAATTGATTGTGGTTTGGAGCCGATTAGACTGGTTGTTGGTTGAAAAATGTGTGTTGGATTGAG